GAAAATATTTTGCGGACAGAGAGAAGTGCGCACATGGGGAATTATATATTAGGATATTGGAGAAAGTTTTGGGGAGATCACTCCCGGTTTATTTCTATACATGTTTAGTATACTTGTTGCAAGTGTAAACACGGTGTCAGAATGTCTGTGTTTTTGTGAAACTCAATTTCGCCCCCCCCCCCCCCCCCTCTCCCTTATAAGGTAGCTATTTCGTTTAAAACTTTCCAAACACATTCATCTCCGAAAACAACGCAAGATTATTAAATTTATAATCTAATTATATATCAAAACTTTTATAAAATTAATTAAAAGTTTCAATTAACAAATGGGAGATGACAAGATTCTAAAGTTCGCTCGATGAGCTAGCGGACGGCGGTGAACTATTGGTCGCGGATGGTTGAGTTCACGATTGTCAACAGACCACAGACTAAGAGGGAGCAGATCGTCTTTTAGATATTGCAAGTTACGATCAAGTTTAAAAGAAGTAAAAATTGTAGTCCTATGTTGTTGTGACGTCATTGAAAAACAAACAAAATGCAAAAAACAAAAATAAAACAACAAAAAATTAAACATAGTACCAATATATTGACATACTATTTTAACAACAAATTTTCAATACACAATCAAAAATAATAATTTAAATGCATTGAAAACAAGAAAATACAACAATTGTTGTTTTTTTTTACTTCAGTAAAACCACGTATAAGAAATTTCATTAGTGACCAAGGCTTTCTTAACAAGAAGTTTTTTTTTTTTCAGTGCATTTCAAAGTTTATTATAATAAAGTTTAAAATATAATTGTTTTATTGTGTTAAACATTGGCTACGTGTTCTTCGGATGGGTACATGAGAAGATCAACGGCAGCCATTGTGGTGGCAAAACTCTGCACAGTCCTTACTATTCCAAAATATTGGTAGGCTAGTCTGTGAGTAAAACACATCGTCCTACAGCTACTAAACGTTGTCCTAAATCCACTAAAACACATCGTCCTAACGCTGCTAAACCATATTGCCCTAAATCAATTAAAATACACTGCCCAAAAGCTAATAAACCATAGTGTCATAAATCCACTAAAACACATTGTCCTAAAGCTGCTTAACGTTGTTCTAAATCTACTAAACCACATTGTCCTAAATCTACTAAACCACATTGTCCTAAATCTACTAAACCACATTGTCCTAAATCCACTAAAATATATTACCAGAAGCTACTGAAACACATTCTCCTAAATCCACTAAACCACATTGCCTAAAGCGGCTAAAATAAACTGTCTCAAATCTTAAACCAATAGTCTCAAATCTATAACAAATTGACCCTTATTCTTAAACACAACACCATGTATTTTATTCTATAAATAACGTATATTTTCAATGTCTACCTTGTATCTAAATCCCCCATGCACGAAACTAACAACTATACTCTGAACACCTTAACCATCCGTGTCCCAGTTTTGATGGCGAGTCACCAAGCCCCATGTTCCCACACTGCACTACTTTTCTGAGGACGCTTAGAGCCACTCTTGTTGCTCTACCACTTCCGGTCAACAGCACGCAGGCGAAGAAGTTTCGAGAAATATATCTGCTAGATCTCACTCTATTTCAGGCCATCATTTGGGCAGCTACGTGCAAGTCGGCGTTTTGTTGTTGGAGATATTTATCTGGCAGATTCGTTTCACGTCAGCGAAAGAAAAGATGAGTGACTAAATTTTGCTTACATTAATGATATTTCGTTTCATATGGGGGGGGGGGGGGAAAGAGAAGTTTGTAAATGACGTCACATTTATAGAGAGGAGAGGCGGGGCAGACTTTTAATGACGATGTGTGATGGAAAAGTTGGGGGGGGGGGGGGGGGGGGACGACAGAATGTGTGATCCAGCTCATCGATTATTTTTTTCAAAAAATGAAACACAATTTTAAACAATACAGACTGTAGTTTGGGTGTGTGAGACGTCATCTTTGTGTTTAGACTTGTGTGTGCGCGCGGGGGGTGGGGGTGGGGGGGGGGGGGGTGGGTGGGGGTAATTTGGTATATGTTGAATGCGGGGGTGGGGGTTAGTAATATAAAAAATACTGTGACGTCATAATGCCGAGCCCTAAACATAGTGTTCGAAAGTGTTGGGAAGAATAGAAAAAATAATAATTTCAAAGGACAGAAAAACATTTTAAGAAGGTTGTAAAAGGCCTGTATTCTACCAGGGGTTGAAAAAAATGGACGGACAAGGAAAAAAACTAAAAAAAAATGTCAATTAAAAGTGAAGTTTTCATTTTGTTTATAAATGTAATGTTTGCCCCAAATCCACCTTGCTTAAAGTAAAGCTAAAAATCGCTCCGGTGTCAAGTACAATTAAGCGGCTCTAAGCTTTACCAAGCGTCTTAAAAACCTTAAGCCAATATTTGGGCGTAGATTCCCATGAGCCCCAGTGTTACGACACCCCGGGTCAAGCGTGTTGCTCTGTGGCATTCATCCGTTGCGTCACTGGTCAAACAGCGCTCCGTCGCACTTCCGCTTCAAGGTTTATTTACGCTGAATGGTCACTAACCTGCAACAAAAATAGGTATTCATCGCGGCTGTGGGAGAAGCCGAATCATGACAAAAGATGTCCACACTGTTAGTAAACGACCCGCACAGCGGCTTAAATGTTCATTGTTTAACTTGGCCTGCCGAGAGAGTAATTGTCCTGGCACAGCGCTGACCGCCAGACGTGAAGTAGCTACTAGACGCACTTGAAACGTGTTATTTCGGGGCAAAACGCGTTGAGCGCGGTATTATCTAAGACGCCAAAGTGATACGCGGATTGATTGTAATCAACGACGCTTTGTAGGTCAGACCCACATGTTATAGAGTGACCATTATATTCTTATAGCAGTGGACAACATAACGACTTAGTAGTACTGATCAAAGACGGCTTAATTTGCTTAAAGCAGGCAGGGAAGGGTAGGAGGTGTATAGCCTTGCTACAGAATAGATCCATTTAATTTTTTTCTGGTCAAAAATATTTCATTTTTTTCTTGTACTCGTCTTTAAAAAAAAAGTACCATCTCAAACCTAACGGTCCATGAGGTAGGTGAAGTAGAGTTCATCTGTTTCCGCGACCACGACATATGAAGGGATAATGTGGTCGGCAATATCTCCTTTCTCTAACTGGAGTCCGGTAACCATCAGAGTTTGGTGGACGCTGGGACGATCAACTGACACAAACCTGGGATTCGAATTCGAGATTTTCAGGTTAGCAGTCATATGCTCTACCACCCGGCCACGCCGTCCCACACTGCAGTTTTTAACAAAGTATAAATAGTCAAAATGATTTACTAGCACTTGGGCGCCCTGTGAGCTTTCATTCAGGGTTCCAGTCAGGCTCAGTCTGCTTCTCTTCTGACAAAGGGATCCAGATTTCCTTTAAAAAAAAATTAAAATGAAATAACTAATAATCAATGTGGCGGTTTTTTTTTTTTTTTTTTTTTTTTTTTTTTTTTTTTTTTTGTATTCTTCTTCTTCATCGTCCTTAATTCCATTGTTGGAAGGGATTCCTCCTACACAATTGAGTATTAAAATTTCCCAGGAAGTATGGGTGAGGGACACTGGTAAGAGTATATAATATTTTCTATATATAGAGATGCCTGGAAGAAACTCTGCTTTAAATACTGTATATAATTATAGCCTCCTGTCGAAATGTAGAGGCACAGGTGATCATCAATGAGTGTATAAAGTATAAAGCATAACTGTGTAATCAAAATTCCAGCACATTTCGTAACGCAATAATATAAGCACGCAGTGATATTTTCTATTGTGGTTCGTATACACTAAGTATATACCGGTGGCACTGTAATAATATGACAGTAAAATCAATGAAACTACGCTATCATATTAGCAGAGAACAAATGACGGACGGATTATGTTATTAAACGACTTTAATCTTTTAACTAATCATTGAAACAACACGTAATCAGTGTTTCTTTCAGACTTTTTTTTCCAGGGGGGGGGGGGGGGGCACTTGAAACTTTCGGGTACTAAATTTTCCGAGAAGAGAAGGGTGGGGTTATGTGCTTCCGGGGGATGGGGTGGGGTGGCGGTAGCACTGCTCGTACTTTTACTTATTTTTTTACGTGAAGCCCCTCCCCCCCGAAGAGAGTTTACCGCCCACCGAATGAAATGGAATTTATATAGAAAATATATACTATTAACAGTGTCCGCCCCCCCCCCCCCCTCCCGGCATTTTTAGTATGACCCCCCCCCCCCCGGAGAAAAAAAAGTCTGGAAGAAACACTGTTTATAATGGGTGCCTTATAGTCGGGGGGGGGGGGGCTTTCTTGACAGGAAGCTCTCACGGGTAGACAAGTCGTGTGCCAATCATTGTAGAGGCATTCAAATCAACTGCTATCGAAAATAGCTCCTTTCCGCTGCGTTTGTTAAACATGTGCTCTATATCTGTACATTGGCTATGCAAGATGATTTGGCTCACTGGGCATTATAATGCGGCGACGATACATTGTCTTGGGTCACAGGGAGTGAACAGATTTCACGGGAAATTCAGATGTTGATAAACTTCTAGTTCAGTTTTAAATTTTTACCTGTTAAATAATAAAGTTCGTTGTAGCTCATAAAATGTACAATATTTCTAGGTCGATTATCTTTAAACCATTCAAAAGTTCTTTCTAGGAATGTGAAGAATCTGTCCCCAGACAAATACCGATGATCGACCAGATTGCGACATAAAGAATCGTGTTTTTATAAGTGGTATGCAGATCTGCCTAGCTATGTAAAATGTAAAAGGAACACCATTAAAACAATGCGACAATCAAGCGAAACTGCTAGAGCAAAACTTGCCAGTCACCAACCTACATGTTGTGACAGCATTTTAGCCCAGATACATGTATTTGACATGTTGCCATGAGTATACTACAATGTAGACATAGATGCCTTCACCACCTAAAGCATTCAGTTTTTATGTTTCAAACTAGCATTGCAAATACAACACACACAAAACAAAGCCAGATTTTTAACAATTTTTCAAAGAAAACTTTATTCAATTTTATTTTTTATTTTATTTTTATAACATTATATACACAATATACAAAACGATTATTTTGTTTAGAAAAAAAAAAAGTAAACACCATTAAGGCCAAAGAATTATACTGGTATGTTTTGTTTCGCAGATGAATCAAAAAAATGGGAATAAGATTTTCCAAAAAAACAAAGCTTAACTTATAAAAATTTAAACCATGTAAATCAACACTGGTTTAATCAGGAGACTAAGGCCTGAGGGATTCAACTACCAACAGCTCCTAACATCAGCAGTCTGGGTGTGTTCCCACTCACCATTGTGTTAACACATGTTACCTTCTTCCTGGTGTGTAGCTTTTTTTGTGTATTATTTTAGCCTTTGGTATCAATGTAACAAATTACATGGAAAAAAAGTATTTATCGGACTTGTTATCTGAAGAAAAATAAAGTCGGGAGGGTCTGCCTTATAATTACAGTATCACAAAAATGCCGGTCCCCTCCGGACTCAACTTCTATGGATAACAAGCCAGGCAACTCATTGCACAACTAAACGACCAATGTAGCAAGAAAAAAAAAACAGATTCTTAATATTTATAAGTTTACAAAAACAAATTGACATTCTAGAATTATTATTATTGTTAATATTTTCAGGATTTTGACTAGCCCTATGGATAGCTTGGAAGTAAGAAAGCAGTGTCACCCCCGCTCGACAATATCACAGCTTTTAAACTGGATAGCATTGAAAGACCCAATTCATCAAGATACTAAGGCAATTTTTTGTAAGATTTGTATTTCTAAGTTGTGTGAAGGGGGAGAAAATTTTCAAAATAATTTCCCAATTATTTTTTTTATAAGTCAGTACTGGATCTGAACTAACCAAGGGACTAACACCCTCACATCCCACTAAGCTTTTTTTTTATCTAAACTGAGGTATACAATGACAGGCATTAAAAAAAAAAATATTTATCAACCTGAGATGGGTAGACTCCCATACACATAAATAACATCTTCAACCAAAACTAAGAGTAAAATAAAGATAAGAGGTAATCAACTGACAGGTTGCATTGTTAAGTTTTCAAAAAAAAAAAAATTTGGTTGTGTAAAAAAATTGATACATCTGGTTATAGATCAATTCATACATCCATCTTGCAATACTGAGACCACACATAAGACTGCAAGCATTGATCAAGTAATCCAAATGAGAATATTCTTATAACAAGATCATACTAATGATTCATCAGTCACCTAAATGATCCATTACACAAAAGGTTTTTTTTTAACATTAAAACATCATTAAAAAAAATATACATTAAATTTTTATGAACAAATTGTCGACAAAAAGTTGTACCTCACTATACCGAACAGTTGAATGTACAACTCAACATTAAAAAAAAAATGCTCCTTGATGTGAAGTTTCAATATCCTCAGGACTGATGGGTTTTAAACAGAATCAGCACAACACAAATGAGACATATGATACTTAAGTGACACTCATGTACAAAAATTAAAAACCTTGGTCCCGTGATTAAACAATTTTAAAAAAAAACCATATCAATAAGAGATTTCATTCGCGTAGCCAACTAACACCGTAACAAGCCACTATACCGATAGTTCATTTATATGACAAAGGTCGCAGCAGAACACTTAACAGAGCTTCTTTAATATTGAAAAAAAAAAAAACGTTTTTTTTTTATATAAAAAGGGACATGTGAACACAAGTTAACACTAGTTTCTCAAGTAACATTAAAAAATAACGGCCCAAAAACGAAGGCCTCATCACAGATGGATAAGTCCTGGGAAGTTGTAGGGTATTGTTGGGTATTGTATCACATCTGTTAGACCTCCCAGGACCTCAAGTAAATGTCTCATGAAAATTGTGCACCCCCCACCCCACAAAAATCCATCCAAGCTTTTTCATATATACACTATATATGCAAGGTTTTTTTTTAGTAGCTTCTTTGACAGACGTAAAACTCATTCAACATTCAAATATACTCATAGAGTATCACAAACAAATCAATTACACAAGGAAAAAAAATGGGAGTTTACAAAGTGTTTTTTTTTTAATTATAAATACCTTCTGAACACATGTAGCGCATAAATTAAAAACTATACAAAGATCGCTCGGCATAAATAATGATAAGCAGCTATGTCATTAAGTAGGCCTACATTAAATAATCTAACTGATGAATCCTATGCTTGAATAACTTAGTTCGTTGTATGAATGAACACATTGATGTCAGGGAGTTTTTCCCAAGATAAGATTCTTGTCAAGTCTTACATTGTTAAATGGATTACATGTGGCTTTCTACGACTAAACTAATGTCTATTTTGTTTTACTATTTTATTTTTGTACAAATACTACATTAAACTTATTTGGCAATTGTTTCTTTTTTTTGTATTTCAATTTTTTTTTTACATTTTTTAATTACAAGTTTTTTTAAAGGTTTTTTTTTTATATTTAAAAAAATTATGTTTACATTCTGCTTAAGAACTTAGTCAACAGAACAGGCTAGTACAACACAACATAAAATGTAATATCTTCACGGAAGACGATTGAAACTTAGTATTTATAGTAGCCTTTAAAAAAAACAACTTTTGTTTAAAAATCGACCATTGAAATTTTTACCTTTAGTTTTCCAATGAAGCCAAAATTTTTAACAAGTACACAAGTTTATGATCAGCAAATCTTTTTTTTCAATAAAGTCTGCATGGTGGATAACCAATGATTTTCACTGCACGATTTTTTTTTACACTGAAGGAAAGTTTTTTTTTCTCTTGAGTGACAGCAACAGAATGCAGATATAACCACATGACAACCTGGCATAACAAGAGGTTGGTCGAGGGTGTGTGGTAACGCAGATACGAGCGTGCATCAAAGGACCTTTCGTAGTTGAGAAAACAGTGAATCCGCAAGCCGTCTTATTATCCAAAGGTGACGGGCACAGCTTGATGCACTGTATTCACTGCCATGATGTTGATCTCTCTGACATCTGTGGGTGTTGTGGGCTGCTCCTGCTTATGAGAATCTTGTTTGGTTGGGGTCTGGTTTTGTTGGGAGTGTGTGGACATGCAGTTCTGAATAGTCTGCTCAACTTGTTCCATGCAATCTCTAATCAAATCCTGAAATTCAAAAATTAAATCTTTATTAAAAATTTATCAACAATGTTCAAATTTGAATTATTGTAAACTATAAAAATCCAGGTCAGTTAAAAAAAAATAATAATTGCAATCACCTTATCATTGCCAGTGATTTTGTGCAGGTTCAACAATTCTGTACCACTCTGATAATTTAAATTTCTAAAAGCAGTGCCGATTGCAGCACAGGCTATCATGGACGGAGGAGTCAGCATAAATTTGCAGTCTGAAAGTGAAAGAAAAAAAAATTGTTTAAAAAAAAAAAGTTTGACTCAGTAAACTTTAACAGGACAAGTTAAATATGTAGACAAATAAACACAGAGGCAGTAAGCAAATGTTAAAAGGTGCAGCCTGCAACCATCATGCATTGGTATGTGAACAATGTTAGTTCGCTCCACTTATCTGCGCTTTTACAAAGAAACCTTGCACAGTATATTTTTTAAACAAGCATGAAGAAATCACATAAATATGTGAAGAATGGACTTGATCATGTGTTGTGCAACACTAGCCTTTGATCATAATGAACAAACGTATGCCATATTTTAAAATGAATAATATGTCCAACATAAAAAAGGGAATTTTTGTAAAGGAAAAAAATCTATTTTGTTGGAACACTAATAAAGAAAGAAGAACATTAAAGAAATAGAAAGTCTAAGTCACCTGTAGCACAAACTGCTGCAAAAGTCTGAGCCTGTTTCTTAACAGTGGCCAAGATAGATTTGTTAAAGTTCATTCTGTGCAGAACATGGTCTAGAAAATCATTTGGCACAATGGCAGACAGGTCCCACTTGAGAAGGTGTAAGATTTGTGACTCCATATCCTGTGAAGAAAAAAAAAATTTAATGCTTAGTGCAAGGTTTCTTTTAACATAATAAAGGATTATTTTTTTTGTGAATGAAAAACATGTTTTACTTTTATATATCAGAAAAAAATTTCATATAATTTTTTTTTAAAATCATGGCTGAACAATTATTTGTAACCAGATGCCAGATTTCATTATGTCACACAAACTGGCTGTCTAGCTGAGGTTAAGCAGGTTGTCTAGAATCACCAGGCACATAGGTCAGGGTAAGGTAAACCTGTCACTGACTGCTTCCCACAGTTACCTCCCCCTCCCCCACTTACAGTGTCTCCACATGAGTGCATGTTCTGTTATTTTCCCATGGATTTTTCTAGTTAACTCATTATAATCTAACATGTAATCTATTTTTAAGATCTGCAGTACATTTTAAAGATAAGTAGCACAGATGTCCTTTTGATTATGATAAATCTTGAAGGCAAGGTAAAAAAAAATTTGTTAAATATGTAAGTTAAAAAAAATACTTGATCATGTGGCCAGAGGCACTGATTCAGGAAGGCTAAAATTTGAGAAAAGCCTTTGCTAAAATAGGCAAATCATTCAACTGAATCTGTATGTTAATAGAAAGGTATGTACCGTTAATTCCTCCAGTGTTATAGAATTGTCGGTGTACATGACCAGTTGTTCTCCACTAATTGGTGTTGTCTCTTTTAATTTGGAAGCAAGAAACATGCACGCTGCACCTAAGAGCTGCAAGCGAGTCCTCTTAATATCCTTTATGCACAGAAATCTGTCCAAATAATTTACACTTAATGGGAAAACCTCCTCTTCCATTCTTTGCTCTGAACATACCTGTTAAAAAATAAAATAAAAAATTATTTCACAGGCCTAATTATTGATAAGTAGCCTACTTCTTGAATTTATATTAATAATTAACACGTGGAATCTACATGAAAATCTAAATCTACAGTCATTCTAGAATTACTTAATAATTACATAACATGATTCTGTAACAAATTTGTTTAGTATGTTGTTAGTATGTTAAGTATTAAGTATATTGTTCTAAAATCAATTAAAATCAATCTAGATCTAGATCTAGCTAGGGCCTAACACTAGACTTGATTAGATTTTCTAAATAAATCTAGATTCTAGATCTAAAGTCTAGATCTAGATCTAAAATCTAGTGAATCTGAAAATTGATTTTTTTTATTTTCTAAAATCATGACTTTTTTCATTCATTTGGAGAGCGAGACAGACACCTAAAAAAAAAGGCCAGACAGTCTTCTTAGACACCTTCACTGTAACAGCTGCCAAGTTTTTATTTGATGGCCGAAAATCATAATGTCTACATATTCGCAAAGTACATTCATTGCACTTAGATTTGGTGCCATTAGTTTTGCCGTTTCTGCAAAACCGGTATCAAAATGTTGCAGCTATGCATGCAGCCCGTCTGGAATTTCAAGGTCTTCAGCTGGCCGGCCATATTGGTAGCCGGCAATCTACATTTTCCCGAACTATTAAAAAGGTGTGGTAAATTAATCTACATATTCTTTTTTAAGTGAGATTCGTGTACAAATAATAATATGAGCTTAAAATAGCCATATGGTAGACGAGAAGCTGGCCATGTGATAGAAAATAAATGGTGATGTGGCAATACGACTGCAATAAATTATAGGATGGGACACATGAAATTATGTAAGTAAAAAAGCCTGAGTAAAATGGTAAGTGATTTACCTCAGCCATCCATTCTGTTACCATTTTCCTCATATACGGTTGAATATCAGTTTGAACACAATTAAAGTAACATGTATGTGGAAGATATTTATCCTCAGTTGATAGCAAATTTGCCAGTACTCTTTTGTCATTCAGTAATACGGGGTCCTGGATAGCTCTTTGAGGTTTCCCACTGATGTCTGTCTCACAACACACAAGAGAAAAATGCTCCATGTTTGTCGAAGTTTCACAAGCGAATTACACGAAAACTCCAGAAATAAAACAGAATATTACTCCAAGTAGTCTAGGACTACGAATAAATATGAGGTAGATGATGTTGATCAAGTTCTGGCCAAAGAATTATAGTTAAAGACGACTATTTAGAGGCTTAGCTCTTAATGTAGTAATGTCGATGGGCGAGAGAGGCCTTTTATATACGAGCCCTATACATTGAAAACGCGCATGCGCAGTAACAACAAAGATGGGAGAAAATTTACAACTCTTGCAAAATGTTACGATTTTTTCATCAAAATACAATTGTGCATGCTCATTTTTTGGTTGCTCTAAAAGCAAAATCTTAATTAAAACAAATTAATTAACTTAAATTCAATAAAAAGCCTGCTATTTTGCTTAAATATCATTTTCTTTCTTGCTTAAGCTATCTGTCGCGCTTTTTTTACTGGGTGGTCGTCGCTGGCTGAGCGTTTGGTGAGAGAGAGGGCTTGTCAAAGTAACTCCACCTCACAGCTGCTCAGTGTTAGGCCTAGCTCTCTGGGGTAAACTGCAGATTTCTGCTTGAATTAGAGATCTACATATTTTTTAACACTGTTTTAAAACTTATCGGATGAAATCAATATTTTCATCACAGTATAATTTAAATGGCACATTCATTCCAATTGTATGCAAGAGATAGAGAGATAGTGATAAAGCATGGAAAATACACGAACCGTTATTTTTCAAACAAGACAAAGGGCCAATGCAGTTTGGACGAGTGTGATACTTTAACATATTTATCCCTAATACATGGCCATTATCATACCCTGACCCTCACACCTTATCTTGGAATCTATGCCTACTACTTTTCCCCCACAAACCGCGTGGCACCTAGGTCTACGTATAATCGCCAGGCATTAGATCTAGATCTAGATTACACAGAAAAGTTACTTTAGCTACGAATGGCTCAGTCGATTTCACACCACAGTCTGTATTAAGGTTGCTGTTATTATGAAGCAGTGTGATGTAGAGCAGGGGACCATGTGAAACTTAAAATCAGACCTACTTCAACGCTATCTTCAACAGTAATACAGTCTGAAAAAAAGAGAGCGTCAACCCTTTTATAACGGTACAATAATTGCATACGTGAACTGATAATTTCAAAAGCTTAATTTTTTTATTGAATATATGTTCGGACCCTTTTAGAAACACTAATGTAATCGTATTGCCAATAACTAGATCTTAGGCCTATGCATAGTCATAAACTTAGTCTTACTAAACTAACTCTAGGATTCAACTAATTCAAGCATCCATTTTGAAATAACATCGACATTGGCGAATAGGCCTAGAATCTAGATCTAGAGCTGTGAGAATACAGCGATATGGCTTAGGCCTACCATTACTTGATTTATTAAGCTTTTTAAAAAAATATATGAAAATCGATTTAAAACGTTGTATCATCTCTATTTGTTTTGAGTTTTAAATTTTTTTTTTTAAGTTAAAAAAAATATTTTACATTTTCTAAATTATGTGTTTGCTTTTGATAATGTAGGCCTAGGCTAGATTAGACTAGAGTCTAGAGACCATCATATAATAATTGTATGCAATGTTAACCTACTGCCCAAATAATATTTTTTTTTAAAAAACGACAAGATCTAGATCTATTAATTTGCTATCAGCTCGAATCTAACATTGATCAAAATATATTTTTAAATTTCGTAATAAACAGGCAAGTAGTAATGATTTATTGTTTTTAGTAGACGTATAAATCAAACAAAACGATGGACGAACATTTAAAACATCTGTTTAACAGAAAGGAAAAAAAAATACTCTTCTATTTTTAGTGCAGTGAGGAACCAATCAGCTGTAAGGCGACAAGGAGAAAATAGGTCACCGCTGAATGAAATTCTCTGCGTGTAGTAGTAGATTTAGCCATGAATGAAACGGTGTCTCAGATTCTGATTCGTCCGATAAATCCCACCCCATCAGCAGGATGCTGTTCAATAAGGATAAAAGCAACAATTGGGCGGGGTTTAATATATAGTAATGCTCATGCAACTGATGCGATTTTAACGTTTAATACTTTTTTAAGGCGTAAAACACGTGTTTATGGGAACTTTTCTAATACAATAAATATTTTAAATGTATTTTTCTCTACCTTTATAACAAAATATTAAATAAGTCCAGGCGGCTTTCTAGAAGTCTATGCTATTATTCTATTATCTAATGTTACATACTATAGACTCGCTAGTATAGAAGAGTATAGCTAGAGTAGTAAAGCCTCCTCTCATCTTTTAAAAAAAAAAAAAAACAAAAAAAAAAAAAAAAAAAAAAAAAAAAACACCATTTCTGAACAACTTCTTTAAAAAAAAAAGATAAATTTTAGATAAACATTCTGGTTAGTAGGAATCTAAAATTTAAAATATTACAGAAAATTTTAAGTCTATTGGTTTTCACTTTCGGTTTGTCTAAATGTTGTAAAGCTGAAAGCTGTTTTGTATTTCCCGTTAAACATTGATAGGCTAGTGTAGGTCTACCAGTGCCCCCATTTACACATCTGTGTAGCGGTGTACACTAATGTTTGTTCCTCTGCTTTATGGAGCGGATTGATTAGGCCATATAGAATATTCTCTTGAATGCTTTAACACTAAGGTTGTTTTTTTTAGTGGTGCTATGTTTAAAATTGTATTAAACATTTATCTCCGGAGGGAGGGGGCACTTGAAACTGGGGGAAGGGGGTAGGGGGACGGACTTGGAACTTTCGGGGTGGGGTGGGGGGAACTGAAATATTTCCGGAGGGGGACGGGACGGACCCTGGGTATATATTTAGTATTTAAATTCCTTTTTCGTCCAGGGGTTTGGGCATCCCCCCTCGCTCCCCAATAGAGGCCTGAAAGAAACACTGCCCCTATGGTCTAGCCTAGTCTGGTTTTTTTTTTTAATTTCAAAAATAGGCCATGAATTCTTTACAGTGAGAGACGGAAACTTACAAGATTGCAGGCTTGTCGAGAGTTTCTTCCAATCATCTCTTCCGAGGGGGGGGGGGGGGAGGGGGGTGGTTGCTCCAGAACGAAAAAATGTATTTTAGTATATTGTATGGAAAACTTTTACTTTTACCAGTGTCCGCCCCCCCCCCCCAAAAGTCTGGAAGAAACATTGCTTGTCGTAATTAAAACGTCATATTTTTATTTGTTGTTGTTGCTCGTTTTACTAACCACAGCCACATGCTGCATAGGTTTTAATCTAAAATTAACCATCATTCTCGGGGGGGGGGGGGGGTGGCTTTGATTCGACAACGTCAGCGCTTTTAAAGTATTTAAAAAAAAACCACGTTTTGTTATTTTGTGAAAACATTCTTGATATTGATAGTGAGCAGGAAGCGATGGCTGATGATTTTTGAGTGCTGATAAGTCCGTGTGTCCGTGTAGCTTCAGTGAGTAGGCTTTATCTGCACTGGGAACAGCTAGTTCTGTCTTGACATGTTGACTATTTATTGTTAGCAATGGGTTTTTTTTAAATGTATTTTTTGTTCGAAATGTCTATTATGCAAACGTAATTAATTAAGAAGAAAACATTTCATTTTAGCTTATGCAATAATTGGCATTAATGATTAGTTTAATCTATATGTGAGCTTGAATTAAACTTTATTGTATGCATTTATTTTCTTTAATGAATCTAGAAAGAAGGCGGTGGGTGAATTGTCTAAATGTTGGAACGAACAAAATTTAAGGATCGTAGTGTTTAATCCTTTAATCCCCCATCACCTATCAAGTGTTTCTTCCAGACTTTTTTCTCCGGGGGGGGGGGGGGCACTTGAAATTTTCGGGGGGCGGTAGACTTTCTTCGGGGGGGGGGGGGGGCGGGGCGGACACTGTTAAAAGTATATATTTTCTATATAAATTATACGAATTTTAATTTCGTTCGGGGGGGGGGGGGGGGCTTAGCCCCCCCCCCCCCGAAGAGATGCCTGGAAGAAACTCTGCACCTATCCCTGCTTTAATCTAAATCAAACCGTAAATATTACTTGAACGCAGATGTTTAGTATTTTTTAAATCAACATTTACTATGACTTTTGATAATTCGTCAAAAGTACTCGGTAACAAGGGCCTAAAGGGTGAACATAAAAGTTACGGACTGCTAGTTTATTTACGACTTAGATCTAGATTGATATTTCTAGGCCGTATCCAATGTTGTTATCTTGCATGTATTTCTATAGCTTACTAATAATAGTTCCTTGTATTAAAAAAAACTTGAGAGAAAGAGAAAAAAGTATCAAAACATGTCATAAATCCTAGACTAGTTATAACTAGAATTACTTTAAATAGCCCTAGGTCCTAAACATGTGGCCTGTATTTTATTTAAAGAGGATTATATTTTATAAAGAAAATGTTCATAGAGGTAATTGGGCACCCCCCCCCCCACACACACACCCAGAAACACATACTATTTACATTCACATTGATTTTTATAGACCTAAAGGTAATTAAACACAGTGCAACCTCCTTAGATGCAGTATGCAAGCTTCAAAAGAATTAGGTCAAACTTGCAAGGGACAAGTTAAATATAGATCAACACTAATTTTGACCTATTTCTCCCGATTGACATAAACCAAAGAATAAAGCGTCCCAAAGATCTCTGCCCAGTCTTACTCTCACAACCAGTTAGTACTACGCAGCTGATTGAGCTATCGATCTATGTGCGTAACTGTGTTTTTGTTTTTCTATTCGGCTAGCACGAACGAACACGTCTGCGTTTCATGCAAATCTCTGATCGCTCATTGGCCGGCGCGTGGAAGTAGTTATTACTTGACCCCCAACGCGACGCGGCGATTGGCTGTTGCGCGTTATCGAATCGTCGGGGTGAAGAGCGGTCAGGTTTAAACGTATCGTTTCCATTTTAGGTGACGGTTCGAGTAACGATATTTCTCACCCCCCCCCCCCTCCCCGACCCTCCTTGCTTCGTCCGTGATCTAAATTTAATGCTTGCATGATATATGCATTCTTGTATGACCAAGTCATGTGATTGTTTTGTTGATCTTTAACTGCACCGGTGTCCAATTACACAATACGAGAATACATTTTAGATTTAATCCTCTCGAGTATTTGGTGTAACCTCGGCTTACTAAAAAGTTCTTACGTTTCCAGGGCGTCAAGAGATATTTGAAAGTGCATTTGCGACAGTGGCGTCACAAGGTCGGGTGTTACCGGGTG